ATTAAGTTTTTTTTTTTTTTTTGTTTTTATTAATAAGGCTTCCATTATTTTTAGCCCTTTTTGCATATAGATGAGGCTATTATATTAATGTTGTCAACAAGTATGTTCCGAATAGTACCCAGTAGGTCTCCATGAAGATTTAAATGAGATCTAATTGAGCTACAATAAGTTTGACACGCAGACTCACTCTCTGACTATAGCTTTGGAAAGTGCCTGAAAACCATATCACCGGTTGACCCAAGCTTTGTGAATGAAATTAGGCAGACGGAACATTTAGGGCCGTCGATAGCTGTGGTAGCACGAAGTCGCAAGTCATCGTGACCGAGGGTTTGTGTGTGCTGTTGTTCAGATTGTTGATCATTGTAGATAACACGCTCTTTACCAGAAACTGTAATTAATGTGAGCTCATCATAGCTGCAGCATAAACCGCAGGTGGTCTCTGTGGGTGTTGAACAAATACAAATGTGCCTCAGCGAGCGTCTGCTATAGGGATTGTCTAGCCGCCCTAGTAGACAGGTGTCCTCGAATACGAGTGTCTAGCTATTATTATTTAGTAATAATATTAGTTAATGTAATTAATATTGTTTATTAATAAGGCTTCCATTGTTTTTAGCCTTTTTTGCATGTAGATGATGCTATTATGTTAGTGTTGTCAACAAGTATTTTATGAATAGTGTCCGGTAGGTCTTCATGAATATTTAAATGTGATCTAATTGAAGTATGGTCAGAAAGGTGTAGAGTGAGTCTGCGCTTTTAATAAAAACAAAAGGTTATATATATTAGGTTATATATATATATATATATATATATATATATATATATATATATATATATATATATATTAGGAAAAAACTCGGAATAAATTTATTTCGACAGATAATTTTTTTTATATCTACCTCATCAGCCTGAAATTACAAAATTTTATCTTTTGATTTAATTTTAAAAGAATGTTTAATAAATTGTCCTGATAAATTTAAACCATTTTGTAATTTGGGTCTGATAAGGCAGATATTAAAAAAAATTATCTGTCGAAATAAATTTATTACCGACTTCTTCGATGATGTGTTAAGTTTTGTCCTTCTCGATGTATATCGTATTGCTCTGTATAGAAATACATTAATCTCTCTTCATCGATCTATCTTTTTAATATCTTATATTAAAATGACCTACTTGGATTATCCTTACCCTTACGGATTTGACATTATTATATATATATATATATATATATATATATATATATATATATATATATATATACTAAGCGTTTCACCCCAAACAAGCCGGGAAGCCACTAGCACGCAAGGGGTTACAGAGAATTGGAGCGAGTAAAGAGAATCGATAAAGGAAAGGCTGAGGGAAGGATAGGGGATAGATCAAGACAACTGGAGACGTCGATTGACATTACATTTGAATAGTTGGAAATTATAGCTATCAGGGAAACAGGAAGAGGGGAGGGGTTCCACAGGTGAGAAGTGCGAGACATGAAGCTATTGGAGTAGAAGAGATGGCTACAGTTTCGACAGTGAACGGGTGAGAGCGAGATGCCAGCTTAGTAGAACACTTAAATTCATGAAGTCTGGGAACCAGTGAAAGCAGCTCATCGGAGCAGTTACCGTGAAAGTATTTGTAAAAAAAGACAGAGCGAAGCGACGGCATGTCTGTGAAAGAGCGACTGCAGACGAGATGCCAGATCAAGGCCAATTATACCTTGATACAAACAGAAGGTGCACCGTACCTTATATGGCAGCAATACTCCATGCAAGGGCGAATAGTTGATTTGTAGATTTGAAGGATCCACTCTGGTGGGAAAAATTTCCTGGCGCGACACAGGGAGTCGACTTTCCTTGCGGTGGACAAAGCTATTGACTCAATGTATTTGTTCCATCTCAGGTCGCAGTCAATGTGAGACCGAGTAGTCGCAAAGAGGTGCTCTCGAGAAGTTGAACGTCAGACATTCTAATGGGGGGGAGGGATATATATATATATATATATATATATATATATATATATATATATATATATTATAAAGAACTTGGTAATCCGTATGGGTAATCCCAAGGAGGATGAAATCCTGAAAGCTCAATGTAAATCCAGAGCTAATATTTAAAAAAAAACAGACCACTTTAAGGTACTATTATAATAATTTATTTCACCAGAGTCCTTTTAAAAAGACGCCGGATCATTTTTGGAAGTGCTATCTGATGATCCGGCGTCCTTTAAAATAAATTATTATAATGGTACCTTAAAGTGGTATGTTTTTTCTTTAAATATATATATATATATATATATATATATATATATATATATATATGTGTGTGTGTGTGTGTGTGTGTAATCATTATTGCTTTGGATATACAATATGTAATTGCTGTTTATTGGGCTAATTTGTCCCTCTGTTATTCGTTCTTGTCGAACCAGTGTTTCACTACCTGATCCAGGGACTGAAATCAAAGACACCAGATGACAGTAATGGATACTACATAATACATGTATAGCAAACTCTTATATCGTCTACGCCACCGTCTCATAAGGCCCCTTTGTACCATTAGTAATAGAATATGACAAGAAAAACATGGGTGACGCTACAACGTCTTTTCCGTTTTAATTCAATTCTGAATCCCACTAACAATCCCCAAAGAGGGATAATGCCACGTATGAAATATCTGATCGGCATTATTATAATATTCAGTGAGAACATCGATGGTTGAAATAATGAAGCACCTTGAAAATAATTGTTTTTGTACGGTTTTATGATGTTTGTCGATACGCCAGGAGACGTTGGCAAAGACGCCCGCGCGTACACACGGACACAATGGTAAACATTGGGAAAAAATTGGAGACAAAGATAAAGAGATTAGTACAAGACAAAGATACCCAGAAAGAAAGATTTTGGAGATACGAAAACAAACTAGAAACATATTAAAGGCTGGGCGGGTTGAGAAGTAATATTTAAAAAGATTAGACAAAGAAAGAAAAAAAGAAAGAAAGAAAGAAAGAAAGAAAGAAAGAAAGAAAGTGGCAGTAGAATTGAAAAAGAGAATGAGAAGAAATTATCTAGAAAAGAAAGAATTTGAAACAAGCTGAAAATGTGAAAGAAAGAAAGAAAGAAAGAAAGAAAGAAAGAAAGAAAGAAAGAAAGAAAGAAAGAAAGAAAGAATATAATTGATGGAAAAAGAGGCTGGAAAGAAATGTAGAAATGAAAGAAAATGAAACAAGCTTAAAATGTGAAAGAAAGGAAGAAAACAAGAAGAGAAAAAAAGGGAAAGAAAGAAAGAAAGAAAGAAAGAAAGAAAGAAAGACAGACAGAAAGAAAGAACAGAACTAAAAAAGAAAAAAAGGAAATGAAGGCCCAAAGAAATGAAAAGATATATTAAAGGAAATACAAACAAGCTTAAAATAGAAGAAAGAAAGAAAGAAAGAAGGATTTAACGTTAGGTAAATCTAGAGGAAAGAAAGAAAAAGAAAGAGTCGATCTCCAAAAACGTTAAAAGAAAGATAGAAATTCTGAGATGGGGAAAGGAAAAACGATATAAGAAAGAAAAAAAGAAACAAACAAACAAACAAAGAAAGTAACGAATGTAACGATAGAAATAAAAAGAAAAAAAAATAGAATGAACAAAAGCAGATGGAGAGTAAAGAATGAATTTTTGAAATGAGTAAATGAAGAAGCGAAAAAAAAATGAAAGAAGAAAGGTATTTAAAGACAGCGAAAATATGGGTAAAAGAAAGAAAAGCCAATTTACAATAAACAAAGAAAGAGAAGAAAAGAAATTAAGGTAAATGAAGACGGTGAGAAGCCAGAAGGGTTGGAGCGGGGTGGACAATTGTGGTTAGTGACTGGAAAAAAGGGTAGAGAGGAAATTTACTAGAATAAATATCATATAAAAAAAATATTCCAGACAAAAAAAAATCGATGCCGGGTGATGTTATTCTATATTCGCAAGAATCAGCCATGAATAGAGTCTATCAGACACATTTAATTGGATTTTTTCCTAAAAAGCTCCACCATTTTTACTTGCTTTTACTGAATTTTCCATTCTTTATATTTTCTCTTTTTTATTATATATTTTGGTGTTTTTCATTGTTTTAATGTTTTAGAGGTGTCTACCGTAGTGTCTGCGTTGTTTTCCTTGTTTTGTTTCTTATGAATTTTTGAGTGTTATTTGTTTATATATATATATATATATATATATATATATATATATATATATATAGATGTATATATATAGATATATACAGAGAGATATAATTTTGTATATATTATTTTCTTAAGTTTGAAGGCTTCTGCTATTTTGACGTGTTTAGTATATTTTTGATACTTTTATTTTTTAAATTGTCATGAGACGTTTTCACAAAATTCATACATATATATATAAATACATACACAACCACACACACAGACACACACACACCAAACACACACACAGTTTTATGAACAGAAAACTACAGTTCTTTCTATGAAATTCATTTTGTTGTCCCCTAGAGTTCCTTTCTTTACATTCTTTTTTGTTTGAACTTTCTTCCTGTTTTCTTTCTTTATTTCTCTTTCTCTTTACCTTTCAGTTTTCTTTCTTTCTTCTTTCTTAGTCTGCCTGCCTATCTATCTATCTATCTATCTATATATATATATATATATATATATATATATATATATATATATATATATATATATATATATATATTCACAGTTTCTTTCTTTCTGTGTCTATCTCCTATTTACCTATCTATCAGTTTCTTTTCTCTATTTATTTCTTTTTTCTTTCTTTCCCATTCCATCTATCTACCTATATCAGTTTCTTTTCTTTTTTTCTTTCAGGTTCGTTTTTCCTTCTCTCTTGCAGTTTCTCTCCTTTTTCTTTCTTAGCCTATCTCTCTCTCTCTCTCTCTCTCTCTCTCTCTCTCTCTCTCTCTCCCTATATATATATATATATATATATGTGTGTGTGTGTGTGCGCGCGCGTGTGTGTGTGTGTGTTACTTTCTTTCTTATTCTATTTCAGTTTCTTTTCTTTCTTTTTTCTTTCTTTCTTTTTTCTTTCTTTCTTTCTTTCGTTTAGCTTCGTTTTTCGTTTTCCTTTTCAATTTCTTTCTTTCTTAGTCTGTCTGCTTATCTATCTATCTATCTATCTAAGTTTTTCTTTCTTTCTGTGTTTCTTTCTTCCTTTCTATCTTTTAGATTCGTTTTTCGTTCTAGCTCCCTTGCAGTTTCTTTCTTTCTTTTAGTTTCGTTTTTCGTTCTTGCTCCCTTGCAGTTTCTTTCTTTCTTTCTTTCTTTCTTTCTTTCTTTCTTTCTTTCTTTCGTGCTTTTTCTATCAACTCCCATTCTCCCGTCATCTCCCTGATGTTGCTTGTTTTGGAATATTTTTCAATGTTTGTCTTTTATTTTTCATATTTTCTCTTATTCATTTTTCTTTTCTTTATTTAATTGTTATTAGACTGTCTCACAAAATTCGTATTTATTTTTATGCGTTGCCTTATTTCATCAACTGAAGACTAAAATTATTTCTTTCTTTTTCTTTTAAGTATCTTATCCCCCCCCCTCTCCCGCCTCCTTTACTTACATTCCCATACAAGCTCCCGGAAGTTGTTTGTTTTGGAGGTATTTTTCAATGTTTTCACACGAAACTGTCAACATCCACCTGTCTGTTTGTCCGCCCGTTTTGTTTTCTTTCTTTTTTTTTTTTTTTCTGACACCGTGGTAGTGGGGGGGGGCATTAAAAACACTACACTCTGTCTTGTCCTCCAGACATTTAAAGTAAAATATTAATAATAATAATAATAATAATAATAATAATAATAACACCAAACTTATTCTTTGTTTACTTGTCATCTTACGAGATTTATTTTTACTTTCACTTACAGATGACCATGATCGGTCAAACAATCAATATTTGTGAGCCACAGTTCAGATCACCCCAAACTCTCATCTGAGCGAGACTCAGTCGTTCTGATTTAATCGAAGGAAACGTACTGCAAACCCATATTTTCTGACTGAATTCCAAGGACGAAGAGTTTTCATTATTCGTATTGTGTCAATTCGAACAAACGTCCTCGTCTATTTTGTTATTGTCGCAACATTTCGGTCGTCTGTCGATTCCATTTTTTTAAATTTTATTTTTATATTTTATCAACCTTTTTCATGTTATTTAAAGCTAGAAAATATTTTTAGATTGTAAGACTCATATGGAAATAGTAATGGTTTATTAATACAAGTCCTACTAATTAACCCATGGCTGGGGGAGAAGTAGATTCATACCTTTCCCAATGGTATTTGTGAATACAAAGAACCAGACTGGAATTCGAACTCGGCTCTCCAAGCTTACAACAGCTGGTATTCCTAAGCGGTCACACATCTAGTTACTGACCAGGCTTGACGTTGCTTAACCTAGGTGATCTATTCTCTTTCTACTGTCCATATCTAGGGATATCTTGCCTTGTATATTTTCGTACTTATCATTTACTGCCCGTCCTGTTTTCCATTGAATCTATGCCTGTACTACCCGACCCAGGGATTGAACTCAAAATTTTTATATCAACGCTTTAATATATGCTATTATCCCGTTAGACAAACATGAAATTGGAGCGTTAAATCTAATATTCCTAGTAACAGCCTACTGTTGCTGTCACGCTTGACCACCTTCGTCGCTCCTTCTTTCTTCCTATTGCTGTTGCCGGAATCTTGCTATCATTTCATTTTCTTTCTTTCTTTCTTTCTTTCTTTCTTTCTTTCTTTCTTAATATCTCCTATATGGTATTTATTTCTATGCCAGGCCTACTGATGTCGTTACCACAGCATTAGATATGATTTGATTCATTCAGACGTTGATAGACATCGAAGAAGGCCGGAGTGTAGAACGGCCGAAAATGTTATGATACCATCATAGATGAAGATAACAGCCCGAATGTAACTGAAGGCGGATTTATTTGGCGTCTTGTAAGGATTAAACTTACTGTCAATGGCTTGTTATATCAGTCATCTGCATTATGTATTGGTGTTAAAGAGAAAGAAACGCAATGTCTTTCTCAGAAGTAACACCAATATCACTCACAAGCTTCATGACATTGTCTTTCACTAATTGGTTAAAAAAAAGACTCTTACTGAATGTCACCATCCAGGTATGGGAAAACAATGTTTTTTATCCAACAGATCATTAGACAGTGTCTTGTTTTTTATTTAGTAGGAGCATTATTTTTCTTTCGCGTCAGCTGAGGCGACAAAAAGATGACTTATAAATAGATGATTATCTACATTTGTTCTCTGTTCTCAGTGTTTCTACTTCACTTAAATGCCGTATTCAGTATCCTACACTTGATATCAAGTCACTTTTGTTTTCTAGAATTATAGAATTATTTGCAAATTCTAAATGTCACTAAACATCGAGGATTCTTCCCTGTTTATTCCTATTATTTTCTTATTAAGAAAAAAGGAGCAATTATATAATTAAAGGTTATATCTGTAGTTATCTCCCTTTAGCTTTTTTTTTTGTCAATTTAAAATTAATTGTTCTAATAGTCGAATGGTTAGAAATTTAGAGTCCCAACTATGAAACTCAGGTTCGAATCTCACTATGCTCTATTTGTCATGGGATTACTACAGGCTGTAAGTGTGGATGTGCGGTGGTGTAATGGGTGGTACTCGGAATTGTTAATCAGAGAGCTGATTTCCAATTTCAGTTGGGTTCGATATATTCACTTACGCACAAATACCCTTGGGAAAGGTATGAATCCACCTCTTCTCCCCCAGCTATGGGTTAACCATTAAGACTTGTGTTTCTATTATTATCTCCAAAATGAAATTCTTGCAATCTAAAATATTTCAGGCTTCAAATAATCTGCAAAGAGTTGGTTGACCGTAAAAACCGAATCAGTCAATCAATCTATTTGTCAAGGAGATGACTTCTTGATAATATCGGTCTAGGGAGATGATCCCGGTGGGCGACACCTTTGGAAAGTGGCTGAAAAACGCTCCACTGGTTGACCCAAAGCCTAGTCAGTGAAACTCGGGACACAAAACTGTTTGGAAACCTGCGATGGTTGTGCTAGCACGAAATCACAAGCCACCGTGACCGAGAGTTTGAACGTACTTGCCTTGTCCCACTACTGATCACGTCAGATGATGCGTTCTCTCCCACAAACTGTAATTACAATCTGTTCAGCATAGTCGCAGTATAAACTACAAATTTGCCTGAGCAGACGTCTGTATAGGGGATTAACTACCCACCTCTGTAGATTCATAGACTACTGTGACTGACGGATGCCTCAAAGTAATTGTTCTGAACTGCTTATAAACCGGTGACCCGATTCAACTTGAAATTGATTTACTTTTCAAGTTAGAACATTTTAATGGTATTGCACTAACAAAACTTGCGCTATGCTGTTCTGTTTTTGTTTTGTTTTTGTTTTTTTTTGTTTTTTTTTGTTTTTTGCTGTGAGACAATAACACACATGGATAGAGAAATCGCATAATTATTGAATATTCTTCCAACATCTTTAGCAACTGTACAAATATACGAGTTTCATTTGAGGTTCCGTCCTGAGTATGATGATAAACTACATCCAACAGTAAGGCCTCAGAACGAGGCGGTGGGCGAGCAAAGGGAAACCACCTCTTAATTGCATTTGTTTTCAGGTCCACAATGACCCGGAGTCGTAACGCTAGTTAGATTCTCAACTATGGGCGAATAATAAAAATAGCGGCAATAGATTTTAATATTGAAAAAAAAAAACTCCCAAGAAAATTAAATTTCGGCATTAAATGACTCTAATGAGGCACGGTGGAGTAATAGATAACGGTTCGGGTTGAGGAATCGGAGAGCCAAGTTCGAATTCCAGTAGAATCCATTACCTTCACTTACGTGCTAATACCCTTGGGAAAGGTATGAATCCGCCTCTCCTCCCCCCAGCTATGGGTAAATAGCAGGACTGACCGGGTTCTATAACCCTGGATGGCAACTGGTATACCACACAAAGAAATGGCAACCTGCTGCGGAAAAAAAAATCTGCTACGTCAGTCATGTATCGAAAGATACATGAGCGCCTAAGCATGCATCACACATGGCACATAAGTAACTGAGTATTCATATGAAATGCACATTTTATTGTAACCTAATTATGTACAATAATGGATCATATGCCATATAGGTGAACAGTTCAACTAGAAATATTGAAAATAAATACAATGTATCTAAATACAAATTAGAGACAGATCATAATACATTATTCTGTCTGTCTGTCAGCAATTTTAACATTGACTTGAATAATTTTAACACCTTCAACATTATGGATAAAAAAATAGGTAATTTTATAGTGATTTTTTAAGACTTACCATGAACAAAACAAATTCATGGATTTGGACAAAAAAAAGATCCCTGAATGACATTAAAATCTGCAAAAAAATTTTAATCCCTTAATAGCCAGTTGCGCTTAGTTTAATTTGTCATGTATATAAATGCAGGTAGGGAAAAAAATGTTGATAGCGAGGATCACAAAGAGCAGCCTGGAGTTGATATGGTGTTAAACAAATAAACCAACTAATCATCTTAGGTCTGGGGTAAGCTTTATATCCAATAGGCATCCGAGGCAAGGAGACTTATTAAGGGTCGGACAGCTCATTAAAAACTGGGGAGAATTTAGGATCTGGTCGATTCTGATGGAGCTTTAATAGCTTTAGTAATACAGACAAAACAGGACTTAAGAGTTGCAACATCAGTGGCCAAGCGCCTTCTTCAAGAACTGGAACCATGAAATGTCTCCAATAACTAAAAGGGTTGTTCTTCATCTTTCGCGATTACAGAACATAGTAGTGACTGTAGGTGAACAATTAAGTTCTGAGACAGACATAGGAGTGATGATGATAATAATAATAATAATAATAATAACAAAAGATGTCTGGTCATTTGATCAGATTTAGGGAAGTTGGTCAGCTCAAGAACGTTTCTGAACTCCTCGCAGTTATTGACCTAAATTTTGATCAGATATTTATTTTCAAACGTCGGATCGATGTGATTAATAGGGAAGCGTCGGGTTAAGTGCATTAACAAAGAAGGAGAAGAACGCAATAATAGCAGCCTTCCTTCAAAACAGTCTGAAAATTCCACTTTCGGGATCAAGCTGCATCGTCACGCTGTCTTTATGTTCATTCACGACATTTCAAAAGCGATTTGAGCATTAGGGAAAGTCACGAGTCACACGGGGCCAAACCTGGACTGCATGGGTGTTGAGAGGCCCGCGTGAATATAAAAAAAGAAGAAAAAATAAACGGTACACAAGCTCACTCAATGGCGTCACACTCCGACTGGGTACGAACACAGGAGAGTGGCTTTTTTTTATTTTAATCATTTCACCCCAGGCAAGGCAATATCACCACTAAGGCGCAAGATGTTACTGGATGTTAGAGAATATGAAAAAAATATAATATTAAGCAGAGGACAATAAAAGAACAAGAATTAGAAGACAGAAGATAACAATTAGCACTGCATTTAAATTTTTGAAAATCAAAATTGACTCGGGTGCAAAAAGCTGGAAGAGCGTTCCCCAAGCTGGAAGTGCGATAGAAGAAACTGTTAGCATAGAACTTACGGTTACATTTAGCCATTTCGACTATAAAATGATGAGACCATTCCGCCACTCTAGTACTGTGCTTAAATTCATAAAGTCTAATTACCATAGAGTAAAGTTCATCAGAACAATAC